GGATTTTGGCTCCATATTCTCCACCTTGTTGCCTGGGGCAAATGCTCGTTTGGCTCCTCCTGAGGGGCGTGGTGTCCTGGACGGGTTAGAGTTTAAAGTGGCTCTAGGGAGCACCTGGAAAGAGAACCTGACAGAGCTCAGCGGGGGTCAAAGGTCAGCTTTTGCCAACTCTTTTGCTAAAAGTGGCATATCGCTTTTTCCTAAAATCAATAACCATTTTGGTTATGGCTCTCCAAGCCAACATTTCTTGGCCACAGATCCATTAGAGCATAAGATTGTGGATTGGTTACCGCATATTTCCCTGTACATGTGCTGTCCATTGACCATCTGATACCTTTATTTGTGTTTCAGGTCTCTGGTGGCACTTTCTCTGATTTTAGCTATGTTGTTGTTCAAACCTGCTCCCATTTACATCCTGGATGAAGTGGACGCCGCTCTAGATCTCTCACATACACAGAACATTGGACAGATGCTGAGAACACACTTTACACACTCACAGGTACTACACGTCATTCATTTTGACATTTATTTTTTGAGTATATGTCAATTTTCCAGTGTTTCAGTAACAGATTTTGATCACAACAGATACTTTTACGTTTTTTTTTTTTTCATATTCGTTGCAGTTTGTTGTGGTGTCTCTAAAAGATGGAATGTTCACCAATGCAAACGTGCTCTTCAAGACCAAATTTGTGGACGGCATCTCCATGGTCACTCGCACAGCTCAGACACATGAGGGAAAGGTTTTGTTCCAGCGCACTCAGGAGAAAACCAGGGACAAACGCCAGCGACAGATGCTGGCTAGCTAAACACACTTGCTATATTGCACAAATATAAAGATAGAAGCCAGATATATTAAGCTTTTATCACTTTCAGTTGAGAAAATGAAATGGTATATTTAAAATTATTAGTACTAAAAGCATTTTTGGACATCAGATTTGTGCAACTAATGCATGTAGAATTGCTCTGTAAATCAGCATTTTCCATTGCCTATTTTAAAATGCTGTTACACTCACAAATGTTCTCCGCATTATTGACGTTATGGAGTGTAGTTGCTCTACAACTTTTTAATCCTGTGAGTCTGTTTTCTCTCTCTGTGCACTGTATTTCAATATATTTGTTTGTAGGAT